CCTTCTCTCTCTCTCTCTCTCTCTCTCTCTCTCTAACAATCATTAATCATTAAATCCGAAATAAACAATTATTACGGTTGGTCGGAAATAATAAAAAAAATGTAGTTTTTAATTTCTGATAATAACAAATAATACAATGTTTAGGCATACATTTTGATTGCAAACAATATATTCAAATGCGATGAGAATATTCATTCATTCGTACAAAATAATTAAAAATATGAGGAAATAATTAATTTCGTCTCATTAATGCAAAAGGAAAAATTATTTAAAGCAGATAAGATTATAAAAAAAAATATTTGAAGGAGTAATTAATAAATGGTATTAGTTTGATCGGAATATTAATTTAATATGGGATAATCAGAATAGATGATTGATTATTCATTTATCTGATAAAATTACAATTTATATTGAATAAATTATTAGTTATTTATTAGAATTGATATGATTTTTGCTTCATTCCTTTTTTTTTTGATGAATTTTAAATTTGTAAAAATCATCGAATTGTTATATGCAAATAATCTCAATGTTGGGGGAAAAAAAAGCATTTAACACAATTTTTTAATGAAATTAATATCATTTACTTTAATTTTGGATTAAGTCAATTTTAGTACAAAACCGAAAACTTAAAGCTTATATGTGATTCACCCGGATAGGCTAAAGTTTAATTAAAACCTTAATAAATCAGTCTATCGCATTGAGAATTCACCTCATTGGATAATTTTAATACGATTGTTTGTGATCAATTAATTAAACTTATGTTAATTACTGTCAATGATTGTAGGATATTTATAAAAATGCTGGAATTTACAATTTTATTCTCAAAACCAAAATTATCAGTGGAACAAAATTTGTTATAAATTAAGAAATTAAGAGATTGTCCTTGGTAATCAGTATTTGTTTAGTATTTTCAAAGGCAACACAAGTATGTTTTATTGTTGTATTATGATAAAATATAATAATGCAATGTAAAAAAAAAAAAAATTCTTTTTATAGGATATAAACGGAAAAATTTTTCAATCAATAATTATAATTAGGATTATTATATTTTAAAACATTTGCAATTTAATTATTTGATTTTGCATTTGAGGATAGTGCTAATGGAAATAAGTGAAATAATCAAATTTAATATGGAAATGTTGGATGATAAAAAGTTGTATTTATTTTATTTCATTTTTTTCATTTTATAAAAAAAAAGCAATAAAATTTTATTCATTTCAATGAAATTTCTCACATTGAATAATACATATATTTTTTACATTTCAGTTACTGAAATAAAAAAAAGAAGAAAAAAAAAGGAAGAACACGAATACTTTATTGATAAGAAATTTAGATCAAATCAAACACATATAATACAAAGTAATAAATTAAAAAAAAAAAAAAAGGCATAATCTAATTAAATGGAAGATGTGATGAAGTTATTAAAGTATAATTCGATTAAAGAAATATTTTAATGACAATTCAATTTACATTTAATATTAGTAAGATATTATATCATTTCTATAAGAATCCTTGCAAATGTATCTTT